AACATAAATTCAACTAGATGAAAGGTATACATACACATATCACATAAGAACAAAAGATAGAGTAAAATAAAATGGCTTGAAAACCCACTATCCAACTGGGGTGATCTTTTCCTTCTGTGAACCATCCCAAGATAGATATAAACTGAGCTTGAGGGATGCTGAGGCTGACAGATGTGTCGTATCATGCAGGGATACATTTTATGACTTAAGGCTATTGCCCTCTAGAGATGGAGCAGACACCATGGTCCACTTCACCTGAGACCACAGATCACACTCAAGTTGCAAGTCCCAAAGGTGCTGTCATCCCAGGGAACCACTAGAGTCCCTTTTTGTCCAGATCTCAATCTCTGTCCCTTTCCGGGGTCAGAAGAGCCAAAGGCACTGAGATGGTCTACATAAATCTATGCAAATTCATTGGGTTGGGGGGGGGTTACTTTTTCTGATTCAGATCAATTTAAATTCCACAGCAGCACATGAAATATCAGTAAGATCCATTACTCACAGTATCTTGGGATCCTTAGAGAATTATCCTTAAGTGTGTAAATAAAGTCTGTTTATTCAAATGATGAACTTTACTGAAAGACTCACAGGGCATCCATCTGAAGCTGTCACATTTTTAACATGACTTCAGCAAAGTGTATTTTTGCAACTATGAATAGAATCCCTGCATTGATGATGATACCATACATTTATGACAAGCAATATAGAAACAAAAGTGCTAGGCCTGGAAAGAATTTTTCTGGATCTCTTATTTATTACATTTTTAATAGAAACTCAGAGAAAGCCTTATCTGCTGTCATTTGGTTTAAATTCCACAGTAGTTTTTGTATTTGACCAAATTCCCTTATCTCTTATTTCCTTGTATTCTGCTGTGCCAGCCTCCTAGCAGTTGATATACTTATCTGTGGTTTTATAATAAAGTTTTGGCTTCTACTGAGGGAAAAAGAAAAAAAAAAAAAAAAACATAAAGAAAAGGAAAAGCTGTTCCTTCGATACTAAATATACCAGTTGCCTGCATCTATTATGTGATTTTGAAATAGTTGCCTGTTCTTGGCATATTTGGGGAGCTTTGAAAATTAGTGTGTTGCATCCAACTTAAAGGTTTACATGATGCCTAATGTCATAGCCTCTGATTTCTATATAGAAGAGAAGACAGATATGGTGTACAAGGTATTAAAAAATTGAACAGAAAATAATGTAGACACACACACACGCACCAAAATGGCCAAACAAAAATAAAAAGAGGGTACAAATCATATACATCTAAGGCTGCTTTCTTGTTTTTTTTTCCTTTCAGTCAAAAGTAAGCTATGATTTCTATTTCAAAATTAAAGAAAAGCACAGTGTGCCTTCTTAACTTGACATTAATTAACTTATTTTGATCTCAATTTGAAAATTAAGGAAAATTTAAAATCAAGTTACACCAGTATGTGACAAAATTATTTGAAAATCCAGACTCTCTAAAATGAGGATAAAGTGTAGATTCTGAAAGTCTCATGGTCTTCCTGCAAGGAGAAATATACAAACTCATAAACACATAAATGAATACTCTAAGTAGTTGTCGACAACAACACTCACTTTTCAAAGGGTTGTGAGACGGGGATTTTCATGCTGGTTATTGATCTTGTGACAGCCAACAAGTACAAGCAAAGTGAAGCATCTATGTACCAGACATTCTCCTGGGTACTGGTTCTTGGAACTGTGAGTAAGATATCCTAATCTACAACTTAAAATCACAGCACCAGGCAATGTAGTTCATGCCTGTAATCCCGCACTTTGGGAGGCTGAGATGGGAGGATTGTTTGAGCCCAGGAGTTCAAGACTAGCCCTGGCAATATGCAAGACCTTGTTTCTAAAACTGAAAGAAAAAAAAAGACAGAAAGAGAAAAAGAAAATAAAAAATTAGTTGGGCATGGTGGCATGTGCCTGTAATCCCAGTTACTACAGAGACTGAGGCAGGAGAATAGCTTGAGTCTAGGACCTGGAGTCTTCAATAAGCCATGATTGTGCCACTGAACCCCAGCCTGGGAACAGAGCAAAATCTGTCTCTATAATAAATAAAACGGAAAAGAATTGAATCATTGTACCATGTGCCATATGTAAAACTTATCTGATCTCTGAACCCCACTTATCTGATCTGTAAAATGGAGACCCTACTATCTATTTTGCTTGAAAGATGGAAACAGAATCACATGATATTTTCAAGTTCTTGATGAAGTAGATCGTTTTACAATTTGAGCTATTTTGTCTGGTTCTATGGAGATTCTATGAAAAGATGGACTCTAAGTGAGTCTCTTTGGGGAAACAACTTGGCTTTATAGTAAGCAGATCTGGACGTCTCTGATTGTACTGACTTATGGGGAGGACCTAAATAAAATACTGTTTTAGGTCCTTTCTGAATCATCCCCCTTCTGTATCCACTTTGCCGAATTTGACACTAAGATGCAGTTACACTGTATAGAAAATGCACAGTTTGTTTGCTCTTAGTCCGGAACCATTTGGTGCCTCCCCAAAGCGGGGATCTAGGAAACTGACAAACTGCTACTTTTCACCAGCAGTAAATTCACTGGAATTTCTTTGAATGTTCATAAGGAAGATGGAGAATCTCCTTCTCCTCCCTTGTCTTTGCCAACAGATGTTTTGCCTCTGTGACAGAGTACAATAAACCTGTGAAATAATGAAGGCAAAACTCACAATGAAACACCGGCTACTTTTGAAGGGAACAAGCTGATTGGATTATTTCCACGATATTCAGCTGTGACAGAATGTGACAACTATACCTTTTCATTTCCTATCCAGCCTCCAGGAGATGGAAGATTTAGTATCACTTCGCACACTTTAAGTCTGGGAAACTTCTCCTTATGGCTTCTTATGAGTACTGGAGGCTGGAAAAGAAATCAAGTTGCTTTAGATTTGCAGCAAGGATTTGTATTAAGTTGCTTCAATTTGCAGTGGAGATGCTGGTGGCACTTTGCAAATATTGTCACCATTGACCTACAAAGTTTGTACATCTAAACCTTTGAGCATTGCTTTCATGCCAGCAATGAGCTGCTTTCAATCCACGATGATCTACTTTTTTTCTTTCTTTTCTTTTTTCTTTCTTTTCTTTTCTTTTTTTTTTTTTTTTTTTTTTTTTTTTTTTGCTATTTTGCCAGGTTCCAAGCTGAGACTGTCAACATTACTGTAACTTGTGATCTTGCACAGCCATCAGTTTAAAACAATTTCCATGCACATTTATTCAGGCCAAGACACAAGCAGGAGGTCCCAAGGTGGCAGGTTCTTGCATTACTCTAATCCAGTTACCACTAAGTTAAAATGCTTTCATTACAGTCTCAAACCCCTGGGAGAAAGTAGGTATGACAAGCCAGGGTCTGCTTATTATGTTTTAAACCAAGATTGACTCCAGGAAATAGTAGCAAGACTGAACAAGTACATTTTTACATACTTCCCTTCTTCTGCCTTTCTTGGTTCATAATTTTAATTCTTCTTAGTTTGAACTCTCTTCAAGGTCTTTTGGCCTACCTTTGTGGAGATTTGGAGAGCAACAATACAAGCAATAATTATAAAATAAATTACTTATTTATGCAAAGTCCTTTGAAAACCTTATGTGTCTTGGGCGTGCATTAACCTACTCTTACCCTCTACTCAACTAAGATATTTTAAAACTGTCTAAACCTGTTCACCTAAGTAATGGTGAATTATTAAAAATTAACTGCTGCCTTAACTAACTCCTTTATCATTGCAGATGAGCCTGCTAAATCAAATATTTAATGTACAATTTTATACAATGCAATGTATTTATTCAATTAACATTTATGAAACAGCTACTTAAATGCAGGTACTGTGTTAGCGAGGTGTCTCAAAGGAGGAAGGGTAGGTATACCAGCCTTTTGAGTTTACAGTCTTATTGGGGAAATTGGACAAGTAAGCAAGTAATTTTAATAATTTAAGATACATACATGCTATAACAGGAGAAGGAAGAAGTGTGGAAAGGAAGTCTCAGGACTTCCTAGGCCAGATATGAAGGCTTCCTGAAGGCAATGATACCTTGGCTTAAGCTAAGGGGTAAAAATGTGTTTTAAAGGAAGAACAGACAGCTTTCAAGCAGCATGTGTAGTGGAGAAAGGCTGGGAAGGATTGGAAGTTTATCAGAAAAAGGAAGATAAAATAAGGGTTACTCGGCCGGGCACAGTGACTCACACCTATAATCCCAGCACTTTGGGAGGGTGAGATGAGCAAATCACCTGAGGGCAGGAGTTCGAGACCAGCCTGACCAACATGGAGAAACCCTGTCTCTACTAAAAATACAAAGTTACTAGACATGGTGATGCATGCCTGTAATCTCAGCTACTCGGGAGGCTGAGGCAAAGGAATTGCTTGATCCTGGGAGGTGGAGGTTGCAGTGAGCCAAGATCCTGACATTACACTCCAGCCAGGGCAACAATAGCAAAACTCCATCTCAAAAAAATATATTTAAAGGTCCAGTGCATCCATGTGCAACCTCACATTTGTCCACTGTTGTTGCAAATGAGTCAGTTTTCTGAGTGAAGCTTACAACATTCAACTGTCCAATCTCGACTTTTGTGTCAGTCACAGAGATATTTATCTTAAGGCATCATCTCATTCTTTGCCTTGTCCAACAGTTCACCCTGATAATTTTTCTGCACTTGATGTCTAGGGCAAGAAATGAGAAGAATGAAAGTGTCTTACATTTCTACCTAATGTGTAATGTGTGTTACACCATAGCAATATCATAGAAGCTACTGTGAAAATATCCGCCTTATAACATTCTTGTAGTTGGGCATCCTGTGTGTTCAGGCCAAGTTTTCTCTAACAGAAACCCAGAAACACAGTTGGTTGAGCCTTGAATTTAGAGTGCTTGTGTGGACTAAAATCAAAACCTTCAAGTTTGTCACCCTGCCATTATTAATGGATGTTTAACACCCTGCTAAGCTGGTCTACCACTCAGCTGTTTTCTTAAAGTTGGTTGAGTAACTGGTATTCTTCCTGCTCACAAAGTCTTTGTTAGTGTGCATATTGCAAAACCATCCTAAGTAAACAGTCTGTGTCATCTGTATTAAAGGGAAGTTATGCGTGGATTAGTGTATAATAGCATGGGTTAGGGAGAAAAATGAGTCACCAAAGTAGCTGGTTCAAAGGAATAAATCACTAAATCATTATCTTGATGCCCGACTTAGGAAGCTTTAGCTCTTGAAGACATAATGTCTAAAATATAAAAACTACTGTGTAAAAACCAAGCCCCATTATGGACTGTAGTCTGGCAGTTTATGATGGAAGACTATAGACTGTGCCTATACTTAACAAAACGCAGGATTTAGAATAAAAGATGGAAAAAAAATTATGATATTCAGCAAATTTCTTGCTACCTGAGGGTAAAAATCAGAAACTATTGCCATACAAAATATATAATAGGTAGTAATAAATTGAATTGCATATCGAGTATAGACATCTTTCCGAAAAGGTTTTTATCCATTTTTTTAATCCATTTTCTATACCTGCTGCACAGGACACATAGACAAATAAGATACACATGGCATCAAGAACATCACAGTCAGAAGCAGACTTTGTGGATGTATCAAAGCCAATTGGTTACAAGAGGCTGTCTGTGGCACTGTTTTGAGAGGCATCCTGAGTACCGTGGTATCCACAGAATCCTCAGCAGGAGAGTGCTGTGATCGATTGGCCATCTGGCTGGGATGCTATGATGGAAGTGAAGACCCAAATATCAGGTGTTTGACAACAGCGATCAAGGTGAAGTGTTAGTCATGTAAACAATGGTATACCATAAAATGCTAATACAGAGACACCCAGGAGGTGCTGTGGGAACACAGTAGTGGTAGGGTGGGTCAGGGAAGGCTCTAAAGGGGAGATGATACTAGATTGGAATCTCTAATGGAGTCAGGTGTGTATCAGGTTGATGATGGTATGAAAGCCTCTCCCATACCAGAGTAATATACACAGAAAGAAAGGTGGAAAGGAGCATGGGGTGTTCAAATACTCACAGCAGTTCAGCATTTCTAGAGGAGAGCAGATAAACCAAGGATCTAATGTCCAGTCTGTTCCTACTGCCTGTTGATTTTAATTCCTAAATATTTCTCAAACTTACTTCCTTCTCTACTGCCAGGCCCTGGACTCAGCCTTCACCTTTTACCTAGACTATCACAGTGGCCTCCTAACTGGTTTTTGCACATCCACGTCTCTATTTGTTTACTTATTTGTTTATTCATTCAATGATTTCACTGAAGAATATTTTACATGTAAATATTTTTTATTTTGAGTATACAATTCACTGATTTTTTTTGGAAATTTAAAGTGTGTGGAGCCATCATTACAATGCAATTCTAGAACATTTCCATCAGTCCAAAAATACTTTTTGTGTCCATTAGCAGTAACTTCCCGTTCCTTCCTCCAACCTCCATCCCCTGGCAAACATTAATAGACTCTCAGTCTCTATAGAGTTGCCTTTCTGGATGCTTCATATCCAGGAACTCATATAAGAAGTAATATTTTTGTGTCTGGCTTCCTTAGCGTAGTGTTTTTGAGATTCATCCATGTCATGATACATATAAGTACTTTATTCTTTTTCCTTACAGAATAGTATACCATTGTATGGATATATGACATTTTATCTATTCACCTATTGATGGACATTTGGGTTGTTTCTACTTTTGGTTATTATGAATAATGTTACAATAGGCATTGACATATGGGTTTTCATGTAGTCGTATGTCTTTATTTCATTTGCTTAGATACCTAGGAGTGAAATTTCTGGTCATAAGGTAAATTTAAGGCACTG